GCTGGTGGGGGTACAAACTGGTGCAGCCTCTATGGAAAACAGTATGGAGATTCCTCAAAAAATTAAAAATAGAAATACGTTATGATCCAGCTATCCCACTACTGGGTATCTACCCAACAAACCTGAAATCAACAATCCAAAGAGGCTTATGCACCCCTATGTTCATCACAGCATTATTCACCATAGCCAAGACATGGAAGCAACCCAAGTGCCCCTCGACTGATGATTGGATAAAGAAGATGTGGTATATATATACCATGGAATACTACTCAGCCATAAAGAAAGACAAAATCGTCCCATTTGCAATAACATGGATGGACCTGGAGGGTATTATGTTAAGTGAAGTAAGCCAGAAAGAGAAAGACAAACAGTGCATGATTTCACTCATATGTGCGAGATAAACCAACACACACACAGATGAAACTGTTTGGTGGTTACCAGGGGCTGGGGGGATGGGGGGTGGGCACAAGGGGTGGAGGGATGCACTTATGTGGTAACTGATAAACAATAATGTACAACAAAAATTTCACAATAAAAAAAAATTTAGGCTTTAAAGCTTTTCCTTTGAAAATTTTGAGTCTTAGAAGAAATCACAGCAGTTTCCAGGTGGACTAAAATGTATTCATTCTGTGTGGCTAAGGTCAGAAGTGATTGTAAGGCCACAGGGAGTCAGAGCCAGACTGAACTTCATTGTCCACCCGTCTCTGTAGAGAGGAAGAGACTGGAACACGGGGAGATTAAGTGATTTGCCCAGGATCACACAGCTGGGATGTGACAACCAAGACCAAATGCTGGGCTCTTAATGCTAATCCATTACAACACAGGGCTTCCCACGATCCTGGTCCAGCCTTCTGGCTTCGGCAGCTGACAGATTTCCACACACGGGCCACAGCAGAGAACACTCACAATATGGAGACCAGATACCCGCCTCCTTTCTTCAGGCCTGACCAGGCAGCTGAGGGTGAGGGCAGATTGTTTGTTTAAATTTTTATTACACAAAGATTCAGCTCCTGCCTTCTCTCTACTGTCTTTCTCCTCCTTCCTTCCTCTTGCCTTCCTATTGCACCCCCCTACTCCCCAATCCCTCAGAACTCCATTAGTCTTGGTTTAGGGGATTTGTCAGGATGAAAGGTTGGTTCATTCCAGAAGGAATGGCCTTTCTTGGCTCCAGAGAGTTGGGGTTTTTCAATGTTTATGCTGAGACAAGCATTTCACTGGGTTTTCTTTTGGACCTACCCAGCTGAGACAGCGCAGTCACATCGTCTTCAGCACAGGAATCAGGGACACACACGCCCACACTGTAGTCAGCTCCATCCTGGGAAACACAATGCCACAACGCTCTTTAACATGAGTGTTCATAGAATATATGCATGATCGTTTCTAAGGCTGCTGCTGCACTGCGCATGAATTTTTTTTTTTTTTTTGTGAGGAAGATCAGCCCTGAGCTAACATCCATGCTAATCCTCCTCTTTTTGCTGAGGAAGACTGGCTCTGAGCTAACATCTATTGCCAATCCTCCTCCTTTTTTTATCCCCAGAGCCCCGGTAGGTAGTTGTATGTCATAGTTGCACTTCCTTCTAGTTGCTGTATGTGGGACTCGGCCTCAGCATGGCTGGAGAATCGGTGTGTCCATGCGCACCCCGGATGCGAACCCGTGCTGCCAGTAGTGGAGTGCGCACACTTAACCGCTAAGCTACGGGGCCGGCCCTGCCCATGAATTTTAAACAGATCGGGAGAAGGAAGAGAAAGACATTGAAAGAAGAAAAGTTTGCTAACTTTGACGATGGCTTTTCCATTTTAGAGTAGTTCAAGTGAATTTGTAGAACATCAGATGCACCCATATTTAAATAAAACTATGCTCCAAGGCTTAATGCAGCTGATTATCTAAAAAGCAGCCGCCTGTGTGGGATAATCTGCCCCAGTGCCTCTCTCCCTCATATTACAGGTCGTTCCGAGTCAACACTCCTACAGTTTTCAACAGAATTGCCAAGTTGCCACTTCTTCGTAGCAGGACACAACATATCAAGTAAAGATTTTATTAATAAATCAAGCCAATAAATAGAATGCCTGTCCCAATAAAACAAGATCAAATTATAAATTAAAATTTCTGGGATGCTTCATCTAAATGTATAACTTACATGATTGTGTAGGCCTGACCTTTTGCTCTGATATCAAAACCATTAATCTGCTTTGAAAATGGGATAGGACATTTGTACACACTGACTAAGCCTCAAGCAATCATCATCATAACTCTCAGCAGAACGAGTGGAGCTGGGTGATAATCTCTCTGTCTCCAGCGGTTAGCCATTGTGAGACCATTTTACAGCGTTAATATCAGAGAGCTTGGATTTCTTATGTCATTTTCTATAATTGTTTTTAGCCAACCAGTAATGTATTTTCTTTTCGCATTGCATGACATGCATAAAGTCTCTCTCTGTATTTAATAGGAGGCTGTGCTGTTCCTAGTTTTTTTCCCCAGCAGTAAAAGAATTAACGTGCTTTAGATAGGGAGCCCTCTGACCTCAGTCAACCGATTTAGTGATGTATTCATGAAAGTCCCAGCCCATCTGCTAGGATAATCTCAAATTCATGTCTCAGACTCTGTTTCTGAGCAAGGATTGTGGGTAACGGGAAGTCCATCCTCCCTTTGGTATTCCAAAAACTGATAGTGAGTCTGGAGTTAATGCCCAGGAACATCGGCTGGGACTTGACCTTGAATTCCCCACAAAGGTCATCCAGAGGTCTTGCCCCACACAATATCGAAGGAGGAACATCTAAAGGTCGATATGGTTTGTGGACAACTGTCTCCTAGAATATCCCACACTCAGAACATACAAGCAAGTTTCTGCCAACTGTTTAAAATTTAGTTTTAACTTTTTAAAAACATCTTAATAGTTTATTTGTTTTAAATTAAGAGAAGCAATCAGTGGTGTTGTATTGGGTTCCATATCACGACATTCACTTGTCCCTCAGGAGCATGCGCACGGGTCCCCCACACTCACCTCCAGGATGTGAAGCTTGCAGTACTGCCCCCAGAAGCTCCCCGAGGGGGCGTGGGTGGAGAGGCATTCACTGTAAGATCCCAGCCTGTCCACATTTCCGTTAAGAACATTGCTCCCAAGCTTCCCGACGGAGTCATACACTGAGTTTCAAAGCAAAAGAAGTGGGCAAGGTTAGCTTCCTTGTGTCACTTTCAAATGAATTTATAGGCACTTGGCTCCACCTTCTAAACCTATTAAACTTAAGTGACCAAATAAAGAAGAGAAACAGATATATTCAGATGCCACTCTTGGAGCCTGCATTTTGCATCCACAGCCCCTCTCTTCCTCCAGGGAGAACAGGATGTATGTTATCATGTTGGTTACATGGTCTGTTGCTGAAAAAGATGAAGAGTTTGAATTCTTTTAAAAAAATAAATGCTTTGGGAGAGTAAAAAAATGTAACCAAAAGTTGGTAGCTTTTCTTTCTCCTCCCATACAGCCAAGAGAAAATACTTGTCTTTAACATTTTTATCCAATTTTGTGGGATGTTATTTTGGAGAGAGTTAATTTTTTCTTAACCTTAGGAGCAGAGGAGTGCAGCAATCGAGTTCCACAATTAATGGCACTCTGAGCCCTGGTCTTGCAAAACTCTTCTTGTGTTTGTTTGTGCTTAGGTATGTCCTTCTTTCCTTCATTTTAAATAATTCATTTCCTTCCATCTTTCTTCATCTCTCCCTTCTCCTAATTCCCTCCCACCCCTGTATGTTTGATGTGAATCCTTTCATTTGTAGGTGTTCTTGTTTTGTGTAAATGTATCTGTAATTTATATAAATGACTTTGTGCTTCAGATCTCCTGCTTCTACATATGTCACCTGGTGCTACATTTATACTATGTATGGTGTGACTGTGGTCATCTAATCCAGAGCTTTTAACTGCAGTATAATAATTGATCGCCATCTTAGACTTAGCTATTCCCCCCATGATGGACACATAGATGGCTTAACCCACAAAAACATGTGGAGACGGACTCCTCATACATGTCCCCGTATAGACCTACATGAGGATGCTGCTCAGAGATATCCAGCTTCGAGTGGGATTGCTGGATCATAAGGTTCACAAATACTGCATAAATCCCACCAGAATCTGCTCCAGAGCGACGGTCCCAATCTACACTCCCCAGGAATGCCGATTCCTAGCTCTTCTTTGCATTGTCCAGCTTTCTCATTTTGGGTGGTGAATGGATCTAAAATGATAACCAATTCTTGTTTTAATTTTCATTTCTCTAATTACAAATAAGTCAGGATATTTTTGTTTGTCAGTCAGCCATTTAAGTTTTCTGTTCTGTAAAGGACCTGTTTCTATCCTTTGCCCATTTTTAAATGGATTTTCTGTTTTTGATTTGCAAGAGCTTCTTATTATTTTATGTATTGGTCCTTGTTTACCTGAGTCACTGAAAATATTTACTCTCAGTCAGTTATCTGCCAGTGGTTTATCTATGGTGTCCTTCGTTGGACAGAAATCCATTCTTTTGAGCCTGCGATTTTTGTTCTAGTCTTCGAACAAATCTTTGTTCTAGTCAAGACTGGCTGCATAATTTGCAGGGCTGATGCAAACTGAAAATGCAGAGCCTTTTGTTTAAAAATTATTAAGAATTTCAAGATGGTGACAGCAAATTACACTTAAAGCAGGCATGGGATCCTTTTAAGTGTGGGGCCGTATGTGACTGCAAAGTTCGCACTGCTATGAAGCCAGTCCTGATTCTAATATCAGAACCATATGGTTTTTATTATTATGGATTTGTAGTATATTGAGTATTCTGCCTTCAGTCTTCTTTTCAAAGTTGAGTCTTTTGTGAACCAAACTTCAGAAAATTTATATTCAGAAAATTTCATAAAAATTCAGAAAAATTTATTGAGCTCCTCAAAATATCCAGCTGGAATATTGATTAAAATTGCTTCAAATTTATAGATTATGGGGGGGAATTGACATCATTTTTGTATTAAGCCATCATTGGATGTCATGCAATTTACTCAAAACTTCTTTTGTGGTCTTACTTATAATTTTACATTTTTCCTTGGTAATCTTAAAACAGATTGCATAAACAATTCGTATATAGTGGCTCGTTGGCTATATTCCTTGGTGTTTTATTTTCAATTATATTTTCCAATTGATTATTGCTGGTGTGGAAAAATACTATTGATTTTTGTAATTTGTTCTGGTATCTGGTGAATCTGCTGAACTATCTTATTAGCTCTGCAATCTTATTTCTTCCTCTCTAATCCTTGTACCACTTTTTCTTTTCTAGTTTTGGAATCAAAGTTTTAATCACATTTATAAAATGAGTTGGGCAGCTTTCACACTTTTAAAATTTGTAATGTTGATTGCTGGTGTTTTCATGGTCGTTCAGTTCTAAGTATTTTGTGAGTTTGTTTTCAACTTTCCACTATCGTTTTGTTTTTTAACACAAGGGTTATCTATTAATATGTTATTTAGTTTTCATATATATAGGATTTCTCTTTTAGCTCTCCTTTTGCCATTTTGAAGTCTGATATCTATCCGATTGTCTTTCTTTCTGGAAGTTTTTACAATTTCCTCATTGTTTTTAATATTTTTAATTTTAGCTCTGTCTTGACATACACTCAGATGTAAATTTTCTTTATCAATTTGATTTAGCATTCTGTAAACCATTTCAATCTGACATCTTTTATCCTCCTTTCATTCTGAAGAAAATATTGATATTATTTGTTAAATATTTCCTTCCTCTATTTGTTTTGTTATATGTCTCCTTCTGATTCCTATTATCCAACTGTTGGCATTTCTAGCCTCAAAAGCTCTTAGGTTTTCTTTTTTCTTTTCCATCTCTTTATCCTTTCCTGCTATATTTTGAGAGATCTCTCAAACTGATCTTCCAGCTCACTCATCTTTCTTGTCCTCTATCCATCTTGCTATTTATCCTATCTATTGTGTTTTTTATTTCAGCTGTACTATCTTTACTATCTAATAGTCCCTCTTGACTATTTTTTATGATTTCTCTTTCATACTTTGTATTACCAATATTCTCCTTTATCTCTTTGATTATACTTATTGTGCTTATTTTAATTCTTTGATGACTATCTGTTCCAATAATTCAGCTTCATGTAATATACATATTTGTTCAATTCATTGTCATTATTCTATGTGTTTACTCCTCCCCAAGGATTTAGGTATTTTGGCCTGTGCACTCTTGTTCCCTTTGTTGGGTATTGTGCATTAGGGGGAGCATAGAGGCCCACACTCCAGTTGTGTGCCTCCTCAGGAATTAAAGGAGTATGGAGAAGAGTGTACCACGGACCCATTGGCAATCTCATTTGCTGCTCTACCCGCAACTCCTTCAGTCTGGGATTTTCCCTCAGATTATCTGAATGCAGCAGCACTGAGAAGATATATTCTCCAGAGTCGTTGATCTGCCAGCCCTGAGGGCGGAGGGCAGAAGAATGAAACCTCAGGAACACTGGTCAGCCCTCAGTGCCTGGCAGATGGAGTGTGAGGGAGCTCTGCCCTGACATTAATGCCTCCGATGGAGGCTGCCATGGCCTGTAGTTTTCAAAGGTTAGCTTGCTTCGGAATCACCTGGAGGGCTTGTTAAAACACAGATCACTGGGCTCCATCCCCAGAATTTCTGATTCAGTCAGTCTGGGGTGGGCTTGAGGATTTGCATTTTATCAAGTTCTCAGGCGATGCCAATGCTGCTGGTGCAGGGCCTCACTTTGAGAACCGCTGTGCAGGCAGTTGCATACACACACAGACGCACACAGACACACACAGACACAGACACCACGTGACCACCTTCAGGATCCCAGAGGCTTCTCACAGTTTTTACATCAGTTTCTCAATCGATGCTTCTCTCTGCTTTCTTTAATGTCTCCAGGATTATTTTAAAAGGGAGCCAGTAGCCCTTGCTAATTCACCACCTTAGCAGCAATTCCCTTCTCGTGGGATCCAAGTAGTCATTTTCTTGACTTATTTCACCCAAACTTAAATGTCTTTAAAATTATGAAGGAGAATTAGCTTCAAGAACATAGTAAAATAGTACAGTTGGAGTTTCTTTTAAGCTTGATTTATATGGTCCAGTTGATCGCTTTCCCTTAAAATTACATTGCAAGATCTATTCTGCCAGAGCTCAGCCAGAGCCACACATCATGACAACAATAGCTAACATATGGAGCCTATTTTGTGCCAGGCACTGGTTTGAGAGCTTTCTATCCATTGTCTCATTTAACCCTCACACAACCCTATGAGATTATGAGCAACCATTATAATCCCCATTTTACAGATTCATAAACTGAGGCACAGGGAGGTCAAGTCACTAGCCCAGGGTCACATCATTAGTAAGTGGTAGGACAAGTGCGAAAACTAAAATACAGAGATAAGTAATATACACAACATTATAAATCTACCTCTTTTTAATTGCTAGCAAAATCAGAGCAGGGTATTCAAACTAGCTGGTAAGGATCAAAGCTGTGTGTTCAAACCCATTTTCATCTGAACCCATAAGCCCTCTAAAATATACAAAATGACCCTGTTTTTATTGGTCAGTTTGGTATATAGGTTCTTCTCTGTAACTAAAGATAACGATATTCTTTAGAGTGAGTGGAGAGAAGACCCCAAATACAGCTCGGAGATTAGACAGCTGTTCTTGCATTTCTGTCTTTGTCTTTACTAATAATTGGGTTCCTGAGATTTAATTTAGAAATCAAGTTGAAGGACCTGCATTTTGTTCACGTTTCCTTTTTTCTTTTTTTTTAAAGTAATATGTTATTTTGCAAACCTCCTGGCCGTAATTGGGCGGACGGTCCTTGCTGAGCATCTTGGGGTAACCTGACTTTCAGTGTGAGCCCTCGCCTCTTCTGGCCGGTTCTGCTGCTGGGGCTCAGCCCGTGGGTGTCTGTTATCACTGGCCTCTTTTAAATGGTTCTAAGTATCCCAGGTTATTGTGTAATGAGAATAACTGACCCCTCCTTTTTCCCTCTCATGGGTGTGACTCTCCTTGTCTCCGACCATGCTCAGCACCTTAGAGCTGGCATCTACTCGGTCATTTGTAGTCAGCAATCATCTTTTAAGCTAAACTATCTGAATCATCACCGACCATGTCCCTCCCCTCCTTAAAACTCTTCCCAGGCAC